TACACTTTCTACATTTACCAAAATGCCCTTTATTTTTTTTTTTTTTTTATATATATATATATATATTTTTTTTTAAGTTCTGTCATATTCAAACAGTAAGTCGGTCTTCTTGCTTGTGAAGGAACCCTAAAAAGTAAAACCTCACCTCAGCCCTCTTTCATTTCTCATTCTTTGTCGCTACTCATTCACGAAATCTCACACTCACACCGGCAGATTTCCGGCAGCTCCAAACCTACCGTAGTTCAGACAAATCTCGGCGGCCCTCTACCTGCAGACGACGCTCGACTGATTCCCACTTCTCATGCCTGACAAGCATTCCAGGCGGCCTTGAAGGTATTCATATATCTCTCATAGGCTAATTGAGGTTCCGAATTTTTAAACCTAAATCTAAATGAAAATAATGATAGTTAAGAGGGCAAATTAAGGGGAGCGCGTATAAAACATCTTTGCTCCGACAGACACACTATCTAAAGCAGAGGTCGGCTGCTTAGTCACTATCTTTGCATCTCATAAAATTCATTAGTACCAGTTAATTCTCTTCCAACGCGATGTTTATTCAGCTGCTATCCCGCCTTGGGCGACCATCAGGCTCGCTTCAGAAAAAAACGTAGCTATAATTGAAAGTTGCATGTATTTCCGTCTTTACTTTTTCTTTTTCTTTTTAGTGCTTATTCGGTTATTCCAACACCAAAAATTGGAAGTTACGGTTTGGATAATACATAACCAAAGTTCTGAATGATGCATTCCATATGAATCCCCGTATTTGTCGGCCATTTGTATTCAATTGTGATTTGAGTTTTTGAAGTCTTTTTTCTGCGGGAAGCTGCTGATTGTTAATGGTTAGGAGGACAAAGGAGAAAATCTCACAGCAGTTGACTGCATGGGGCCGTGTGCTTAATTCTCATTTACTGACACCTTCGTTGGCGGCTATGGCGTCCAAGAAAGACGGTGCCCATGAGGCCGCTCCTTCTGATTCTCCAACCATGTCTTCTTTCCCCTCTCTCTCTGTGTGTTTTTTTTTTTTTCCTTCAATAAAATTCGACTTCACGACTGGACTCGAGGATTATATACACATGTAGGGACTTTACTGAAAGGTATGTGGTCGTTTCTTTTCTTTTCTTTGAGTTTTTCCGATCTTATTTCTATATATGTTTTCAATTTGAAGAGGCTGTGTGTTTGTTGCGATTTATGGATGTTGCCAGTTACAGATGTATCCGTCGTTGTATCGGCGGTGTTGCTGGCAGACCCGATTTTAACTATTTTTTCTTTGCTGTTGTTGGTGATTTGTAGGGGTATGTACCCAGCACATCAAATTCATGAGGCTCGATAAAACATCCAGGTACATTATATAAGTACGAATTTTAGTTTTTGCATTACTCTTTCTGTTCCATTCTTGACCCTCAATTCTCATGATATATTAGAATGTTTTATTTTCCTTACATGAGTCTCTGTGCTTTCCAAACTACAGATAAATGATAAATAAATCATTGAGGAAGTGAAATCAAACCAAACAATACCTGATATAAAGCCTGGATATATTGTCAAACTGAAAGTGGGGATTGATATCCTCCATTGAAAAAGTTATTTGTATTTGGGCTTTCTTTCCTACTGAATTGTTTCATTTCATGATTTTATTATTGCAGGATGTTCGGAAGAAAAGTGGCGTGTTTCGATTATAAAAGTGACTGTAATAGCTAGGCGTAATACTGGTCTAAATACCACTTTCAGAATAAGAAGGCTTGTTGAAGGAGTTGCCATTGAGTCTCTCTTCCCACTGTGAGTTCTCATTTCAGCCATACGTCTCTTATGATCTTATCTTTCTCCTCTGACTTTCAGATTTAAATTTCTAAAATCCTGATGTCTTTTCCGAGTTTTTTTATGAATGTTTCCTATATATTCATTTGGGTATTTTCAGTTTTCGTCTCGAGCTGATTTTTCTGCTTTTTTTTTTCTTCATCTGGTATGGGACCAATGAGTTATAGATTTTCATTTAGTAGGAAAGTAATCTTACCAAATAATAGCGATGATTGATTTGTACAGCAGCAGCTGATGGCTGCTCAGTGTTTCGATGTGCGGTGGCGGCATGGTGGGGTGTGAGATCAAGCAGCGGTGAAGGGAGGGCATCCTTTAGACCAGCCCAAGTAATCTCAGGGTCAGGCTCAGTCCTGACATTGTACACTACAACTGTCGTTATGGGTACCTTTGTTCTCCTTTCTTTGTTTTTCTTTTGAACATCTAAATATGCTGTTAGCTTGGGTTTGTATTTGAATTGGGTTTATTTGCATGTTTTCGGCACTTGCTGAATTTTGTTGGAAAATAAAATTGTCGAGGATTTTTCATATAATCCTCAACATAATCTTTTGTCTTCCCTTCACTTATGTCTTTGATTTCATTTGATTTTTGTAAAATTCTGGTAGAGTAGATAGTTTATTACCGCGCTCTGTTTTAACTTTAGGTGACCAAAAATTCTCGTAAGATAGATTGAACATAAGGTCTGGTGTGAAGTTCAATAGTTATTTAGCATTTAAGTCTCTACATAAAGGATTGTAGAGCACCAATTCCACTGTAAAATCTTATAACATGATGTATGTGATTTTGCTTTTTTTTTTTTTTAAAAAAAAAATTATTTGTGTGTGTTTGGTTAGGTTTCCAAGATAACTTGGTTTCAAAGTTCAATCTTGAATGTTTGATATCTAAGCTTATTTGCTTTCAACTTTAGGTCTCTCTGTATATTAGAAATAGGTTTTTTTTAATAGAATCTACTTATAAATAATGTGTCTACGGATTTCTGTTTTTTTTTTATACATTCGAATTTCTCTTTGCTTTTTTTTTTGGTTGCAAACTTAATAATTGAGCTTCAATATTAATAGGGTGTTGTCACATGCAAAAGATTAAATCGAAACAAGACACCAAACATTAAGTCCACACTCAATTTAGTAGCGATACCTTTTTTTTTTACGGTGAAAATTCAGGATTTGTGCGCAAGGAGTCAGAAGTTCTTGTGGAGTACAAATGACGAGCTGTGGGAGAGGTCTTGTTGAGTACAAATGACAAGCTTCTATATACAAAGGTAAACCATACCATATTATTAGTATTATATAAGTAATCGGAGAATATGATATGATTTTCCTGTTGTATATAGAAGGTTGGCTTCATAGCTTCAGAGCAAAACTAGCATGCATTTTGTTTGGATACAAATAATATCAGCTACAAGTAGATAAGGTGAAATTTATTTAAGTACTAATATTTATAATTTGCAAGAGGTGAACCATAGAGTGGTGTCTTCATTGATTGAGAAACTGAAAATAAAGTCCAAGGATTTTACGAGCTTTGTTTGGAAGAAAAACGTGAAATATTAGACAGACAGGTTGATATATTTAGATAGACAGACATATTTTTACATGGTTACAAATCCTATTCACAAAAGAAAATTCCCTTCCTTTTGGAAAATTTCCCTACATCTTATCAGTTTCTTAACATTTTGATTAATTACTAAAGTGAAATTCAAATTTAAGTTAATCGAGATCTCCTTTGATTTAATCTCTTGCTCCCCCTTTTAATTGATAATAATAACATCATATATACATAAGCACAATATGTATAACTTGAGAAAGTAATGAAATAGATATTGAAGCTGACAGAAACTTAAGGGGATTGGATGTCAGAGATAATGGGATTGTGGCAGCAGAGATCCATGGAGAAGGAGCTGTTGAACATCAGATCCTGGCTTACCAAAACAACTGAGATGGGATGGCAAGAAGTGGTGGTGTTTATGCAGAACAAGTGCTTGGTCAAGTCCCTAAATGCTACAGATGTAGTGACTACAAGTTTGTGTGTTGTGGCTGAAGATATATTTGATTTATGTACAACTTTTGTTTCTTGTTGTTTTAAGTTAGCTGGTGTGTAGTTTGTCGTGTTTGGTTGTTGCTTTCATGGCCGTGGTGGCTAGGTTAGGGGATGTTTGTATAAACTTCCCCAGTTAGGTCCTCTTTTGGAGTTTTTTCTAGATTGGAGGTCTGTTGTAATCCGTTGGTTATTGATCTTTGTACTTTCTCCGAGGTTTCTATTGCATTCAAGTTTATTGTTTGAAAAAAAAAATGTAATGAAAATAAAATGACTAATGATGGATAATGATTCATACATAATATTTTATCTAAAACAAGAAAGAAAGGAGAAAATAACAACCGTTTGATACGAAATTTATTATATACTACTTGTTTATATTAGTGTAATCTATTTTATACTTGGTCGTCAATATTGCGCCACGAAATTGAGTTGCTGATAAAATGTTGTTTCATATGGTAAGAACATCTAATCAAGTGAACTCATTTTTTGCAATTGAGTGTAAATGAAGAGAATCATAAATACTGAGAGAAGTAGAGTAAGAAGATATTGAAGGTGTTGGTTGAAATTTAAGGTACCCTACATGTTTTATAAAACTTTATTTTCATATGAATAATATATATTTATTTTTAACCAAATTTAATACTTGTCATTTATTTTAAATAAACTGCAATGTATTTTTTATCGAATTTGTTAAGTCTCACACAGACCAAATTGGACTCGACTGTGCTGTGCACAGTCGGGAGCAATCTAGTATACATACATATATTTTTTGAGATTTTAAGCCCCCATTTGCTTTGCCACGTGTCACTTTTTAGTTAGTCACGATCAAATTGATACCAACATGAGTACTTTATTTTTTTGGATGGCGTGAGGGGCTTAGAGAAGCCCCATTGGACTATCCAAATGGTTTCCATTTGGACTCCCTTGTGTGAAGGGCCTTGCTAAAATGGGCCAAATCCCACTAAATAAAATTCAAGCCCCATTAGGCGAATTTTTGATCTAATGTAGTTTCCGGCTTTCCGCAATTAATCGTGCACCGACTCGCAGTGGATCATTTTCTTTTCGCGCCACATAGTCAGATTAGCCCCTGCGCCTTTCTATATAAACCAGCTGCCTCACGGCACGCTTCATTTTCTTCTGTAGAATAACTGAAAATGGCGGACGGGCACTCGTTCAACAGTATCTCTCTCGGCGGCCGCGGCGGAACTGTACGTAAAGCCTAATTAACGTTTCCTGATTATCTTCGTAATTAATTTCTTTCTGGTCGTTGTCAGGCTTCGTTCCGGTTAGCTTGGGATGTTATGAAACCCTAACCCTAGCGATGGATTTATTTTGTTGAATAGCTGATTTTCCTGCCGTTTGTTCATGTTAATCTGCGCCGTAATGGATTTTTTTAGGGTTTTAGGTGGATTTATTGTGGATTTCATTTTTTCTTTGGATTTTTTCAACTTTGAGAATTTCGCAGCGTTCCTTACGAATTTCTTGCCTGTTTTCTTTGCTAATCTGCGTCATTTTTGGTTTTCTAGGGTTTTTGTGTATTTATTGTGGATTTTATTTTTCTTTATTTTTTTCCGACTATGAGAAGCTCGAAGTGTGTCTACGATTTTGGTGAATTAAATTGACGCTGTTCAGCTGTATTAGTTGTGAAGATAGTGTTTGTAAGTGTATGAGGATTTTTGATGCGGGAGAATGCTATTGATATTTATTAGAAGAATCTGTAACCAACGTTCTCATGGTTTATGGTGCCATTGAACTTTTATGTGTTTTCTTTACTTGCAAAGAAAAAATAAAATGAATAATAAAATGAATAATAAAAGAGGAATAAGATTAAAAAGTAGTATTGGCGGTGAAAAATGATGGTCTCTTTGTTGATTTCTGTTGGTGCTTATGGCAAATGAGGTTTGTGTAAGTTTGACATCAGAGTAATAATTTGCTTGACAATGTGAGATTTGTGTTTGGTCTCTTTATGTATCTTCTATGAAAAGCTGTTTAAACCTTGTACTTTATTATGTAGAATCCAGGACAACTTAAAGTCCATTCAGGCGGGATAGTATGGAAGAAACAAGGAGGTGGCAAGGCTGTTGAAGTTGATAAATCTGATTTGATGGGGCTTACGTGGATGAAGGTTCCGAGATCTAATCAACTTGGAGTTCGAACCAAAGATGGCCTTCACTATAAATTCACTGGTTTTCGGGATCAGGTGAACATATGTTTTGTGCAATGTTTCTTATATTTGTCAAATTCTGGTGATAGTGTAATTCATATTTCTTTCCACTGTTCTTCTGTATGATTAGTTTTGTAAATTTTTAGGATAATATTGAATACTTCAATGGATTGAACAAACTTTCTCGTAATTGAATTTGGAAAGACAGCAGATAGAGACATGTTATATGTTCAATTGTTCATCCACATAGATTCTTATTCATCATTACATTACTGCATTCTTGAGTATTCCTGTCACATTTCTCTCATGAAGTAAGTTCAATTTGTAAAACTAATGCACTCTTATGTTCTCATGGATGGTTGTTGTGCAGGATGTTGCTAGCCTTTCTACATTTTTCCAGTCTAATTTTGGGAAAACGCCGGAGGAGAAGCAGCTCTCTGTTAGTGGAAAAAACTGGGGAGAGGTTGATTTAAATGGTATGATCCTACTTTGTCAACTAGACTTAGCTAATTCGTTCATATATAACTGATTAACTTTCTATTTGTGCCTGATGAATCTTACAGTTCTAGCTGTTAGATTTGACTCAGTATTTCTTCGGTGGATTGATGTTGAAATTTTTGTGTAAAGTACATTGCCAACCATCTGATATAACATGCGATATAGGCAATTTTTATTTTAAAGCTTCATGGTAATGTACGTGGTGATTGCATGATCTGCTACTCATCCCCCCTTTTCTCCTCCCAAATCCTTTCTTCTTCAGCATCTTTATCACGCTACGAATAATACGATTTATAGGGTGTCTAGAGGATTGATCTGCTAAGGTTCAATTATACAATCACTTTTTGTTATTTTTATTTTCATATGCCTCACCTTTGTTTCCCAGGGAATACACTTACTTTTATGGTGGGTGGTAAGCAAGCATTTGAGGTATCACTAGCTGATGTTGCACAAACCCAACTTCAAGGAAAAAATGATGTAACTTTGGAATTCCATGTAGATGACACAACTGGGGCCAATGAGGTATTTGTTTACTCTCCGTAAGTCCTTTATTGCTGTGTAATTTGAAGTGTTACAATTGTTTCCAATTACTGACAGTGTCTACTATGAATAATAAATATTCAATTTATTGAGTTTATGATTGCTTTACAGAAAGATTCGTTAATGGAAATAAGTTTTCACATCCCCAATTCGAACACTCAATTTGTCGGGGATGAAAATCACCCTTCTGCTCAGGTAATTTTCCCATTGATTCTTGATATCGGTTTGCATGTTTGCTGTCGCTAAACTACTTTTTGTGGAAATCTATGTTTTGTAGGTGTTCAGAGATAAGATTGTCTCTGTGGCAGATGTTGGAGCTGGAGGTGAGGAGGCTGTTGTTACTTTTGATGGAATTGCCATACTCACCCCAAGGTAGGATACATTTGGACCTTGTTTTCTTAAGTTACAAATGTTATTTTCTTCTCTTTTGAACGGACTGTCTGACATTGATATTTCTGTTAGGGGACGATATAGCGTTGAACTTCATCTCTCATTTTTGCGTCTTCAAGGACAAGCTAATGACTTCAAAATTCAGTACAGCAGTGTCGTTCGTGTCTTTTGGCTACCTAAGGTTCTCTATCACTGTTCAGTCTTTTGATTTTGTTTGACTGGTCTTGTGCATATATATTTTGGAAACTGTACTTTATCTATTGCTTCGGTTGTTTTCTAAAACCTCGTGAGGAGACAACTTGATTGCATCATGTATAGTGATGGATTATCTTTGTTATTGCAGTCTAATCAACCTCATACCTTTGTTATTGTGACTCTTGACCCGCCAATTAGGAAAGGTCAAACTTTGTATCCCCATATTGTGATGCAGGTAATGATTAGTAAAATCATCAAAAGTTAAAGCACAATTTTCTGAGTATTCAAGCAATCATTTTTTTTCCCTTTTAATTTCAGTTTGAGACCGATGCTGTGATAGACACCGCCTTATCAATGAGTGATGAGCTTTATAATACCAGGTACAAGGACAAGCTCCAGCCAGAGCATAAGGTAGATAATACTCCCAGTTGCTAACTTTAGAAATGTGGATTTACTATTTTGGTCATGTCTATCTGACTGAAGAAATTCTTGTATTTGCACAAATGTAGTCTTATTAACATAGGTACTGCCTTTTTAGAAGTCGTCCCGCTGAAAACTGAAGCTAAAACTTAATCTTGATGTGATTGGTCTCCAAATATCCCAGGGACTGATCCATGAAATCTTCATTACAATCCTGCGTGGTTTGTCTGGTGCTAAAGTTACGAAACCAGGGAAGTTCCGTAGTAGTCAGGATGGTTACGCCGTGAAATCATCTCTTAAAGCTGAAGATGGAGTTCTTTATCCACTTGAAAAGAGCTTTTTCTTTTTACCCAAGCCACCCACTCTCATTCTGCATGAGGAGGTACAATACTTACATTACACACCGTTTTAGAAGCCTACGAATGATGTTTTTGGCTTTACAAACTACGAACTCCAGGAATTAATTATTAACACCTGATTTTTTTTTTTTTAGATCGACTATGTGGAGTTTCAGAGGCATACTGCTGGGGGTTCGAATATGCATTACTTTGATCTTCTCATCAGGCTCAAGACCGAGCAGGAGCACCTTTTCCGAAATATTCAGAGAAATGAATACCACAATCTCTTTACGTTTGTCAAGTTAATATATATCTCTCGCCTGTAATTTTATTTTAATTTCTCTTTTAAAAGACCTATAAGTGAGCATCAAAGCTGGTAATGTTATTGCAGAGAGAAAGGTCTGAAGATTATGAACTTGAATTTGGGTGGCCTTCAGACTACCGAAGGAGTTGCGGCTGTTCTCCAGAATAATATCGATGACCCTGTGGATTATCATCTTGAAATAATCAAGAATGCAGCTATTGACGCTGATGAGAGTGATGAAGAGGTTTATATATATACACACATAGTTGTTTTTGGGAGGCTTTTGGAAATATTGTTCGAATAGCTCTTATCAGTTAGTGTGGGAAAAGTTAAAAAATAAATACTTGTGGTAAAAGTGAATTCACATGATCCTAGACTATTGACATTTCTAATTTAGGAATATAGAACAATAACAAGTATTTTTTTAGATGCAGTTTACTGTAATGTTTTGTTATCAATGCAGGATGAAGATTTTGTTGCTGAGAAAGACGATGAAGGCTCCCCGACTGATGATTCTGGAGGAGAATCTAATGCTAGCGACAGTGGAGAGGAGAAAGAGGTCAGATTTTTACCTCTTACACTTTGTTCATCTTCTTTATTTCAGTCCCACTAATATTTATGCAACTAAAGGATCCATAAAATATATGATGGTGATTTTCAGGCACCTATGAAAAAGAAAACAAAAAAGGAGCCTTCGACTTCGAAACCATCATCGAGCAGGAAAAAGGGCAAAGATGGTGAGGATGACGGGTCAAAGAAGAAAAAACCCAAGAAGAAGAAGGATCCAAACGCGCCAAAGAGGGCAATTAGTGCCTTTATGTTCTTTTCCCAAATCGAAAGAGAGGTTTTGCATTCTCTCGAGCATCCTGTTTTATTTTTCCTTTTTTTTTAAAAAAAAAATAAATTAATTAAAATATTAAAAATGTTTAATGCAGAATATAAGGAAGACAAATCCGGGAATTTCGTTCACGGACGTGGGGAAAATGCTTGGCGAGCGTTGGAACAAAATGACGCCCGAGGAGAAAGCTCCATATGAAGCAAAAGCACGAGCGGACAAAAAACGTTATTCGGATGAGCTCAGTGACTATAATAAGAATCCACAGAGCGCAAATGCTGACTCGGCTGATGAGTCTGACGGTGATTAAGCATTGTTTGTCTGCTTTTCTTTTTCATCCCAAGTGTTTTGAGTAGAGATCTAATGGTGTGGACTGAAATCGAACAATTTGCTACTAAGCTGTATGACTTGTGGCCCATGCATTGACTCATTCACTGTTAAGGATCCGTAGTTTAATAGTGTTATTATAATAGCAGGTTAAAAGAGGAGAATGTTTTTAAATTGTGTCATCATTATGCCACTGCTGATGAGGGTTACTTGATGCAAATGGTTCTCTTGTTTTGAAAGTGCTCTTTTACAAGGTTATAAACAATACAACAATAATATACCCAGTATATTTCCAAACGGGTTGGGGTCTGGGGGGTCAGTTGCACGCAAACTTTATCTTTGTAATTATACAAGGAAGTTGG